AACTCCAAAGGCGGAATTAAGTTTTTGTGACAATAGTTCGTAATTTGTGTCGATATATGAATTGTCCTTTGCAATAAACCGCTTCACGCCTTGCCAAAAAAAAAAAACAAATGACACACTAACGCCATCTAAAAAGCGGGTGGTGGTTATTTACATTAATCTCTTTCATCAAACTCGGAAACTTCAGCAAAATATCTTACATCGATACAAATAAACATCGAATACCCTAAATATATTCTACATACCCAGTTTAATTAAACTCTGAAAGCACACAGATGGACCGACATAAACGTTCGTTTCTTACCCACAAAAGTTCGATGCCCAACATAATTTTGTCTGTCAGCACAGAAGCTCGATTCGGAGACGAGCTTTTTAATCTGTGCTTTTATTATACACGGCGTCGAAACAAGACCAAATGGACGGGTGGTACCTAATCATCATCATCATCTATATGCGTGGATTTAAAACAGTGCGTAGACTTAACAGCGACACCTCGATATTTAATTAATTTTAAAATCGCCCTTATTGACAGGTTTCTCGTGCACTGAGTAATACACATAGCCAGATAAATCTAGTTTTAACTCTCTCGCAATAAACAGCGATTATTTCCATAAACAGCGTTAACCAGTTGATCTTTGTAATGGTGAAGAGTTGTGTTTTCTTCGCGGTACGGACTCTGTTTAAATATTATGTACGCAATGCGTGACTCATTATAAACAGCGATTACTTCCTTAAACAGCGTTAACCAGTTGATCTTTGTAATGGTGAAGAGTTGTGTTTTCTTCGCGGTACGGACTCTGTTTAAATATTATGTACGCAATGCGTGACTCATTATAAACAGCGATTACTTCCTTAAACAGCGTTAACCAGTTGATCTTTGTAATGGTGAAGAGTTGTGTTTTCTTCGCGGTACGGACTCTGTTTAAATATTATGTACGCAATGCGTGACTCATTATAAACAGCGATTACTTCCTTAAACAGCGTTAACCAGTTGATCTTTGTAATGGTGAAGAGTTGTGTTTTCTTCGCGGTACGGACTCTGTTTAAATATTATGTACGCAATGCGTGACTCATTATAAACAGCGATTACTTCCTTAAACAGCGTTAACCAGTTGATCTTTGTAATGGTGAAGAGTTGTGTTTTCTTCGCGGTACGGACTCTGTTTAAATATTATGTACGCAATGCGTGACTCATTATAAACAGCGATTACTTCCTTAAACAGCGTTAACCAGTTGATCTTTGTAATGGTGAAGAGTTGTGTTTTCTTCGCGGTACGGACTGAATTCGTAAATCATTTAGACGAACGTCAGTTTCGAAGGGTTAAAATCAAATTTGACATTATTCTCCTTCAGCCAAATAATACTGTGAGATTTCTTTGTTAAGATAATCATCTTCGTCGCAGTGTTTTTCCAAATTCTGCATCAATTCCGCTCGTCCTATTTCTTGATTTCGTGTTCCATCGAGCGTCTCCATTCCCAGTCTAGGCGAATTTAATTTCTGCTTATTTTATTCCGTTCCCGTGTTCCTGAACCAAAAAGTAAGACGTGAACTGTGAGAACGTTGTAAAATTTTAATCTAAGTTCCCTCACCTGCCCCTTCACTTACGTTCTTCGTAATGTTCCGAGAATCATTTGATATTTCGTCTTAATGTCCCTACAGAGGAATTTACCTTTCGCTATCAGACCGTAATTTTTATTTATTATTCAGATAACGTACCCCACGTAGTTTCAAAAGTTTTGTAAATCAACATTTTCGGGCCTAGTAAATTTACACCCATCTACGAAAACACATAATTATATAATTTCGTTAAGAATCACTCCGACACAAATCAAAGTTATAATTAACACATGAGAAGTAAAAACTAAGTTGATACAGAACACAAATTAATATCTAATACGTTGCGAAGTACCACTTCCATTATAAAACACGATTAAAAGAAACAAACTTTTAAATGAAAAGCTAACATTGAACATAAAAGTTTCTGAGTTACCGAAAAGAGAGAGACTTCGAGACGCAAGAGGGAAGGAAAATGAGTATCATCACTGACGAGTAACTACACCGGAATATCTGGTCTACTACGACGATAGGTCAACGCTGATTCTGCAATCGGCCGTCCAGTCTGTACACCCTACAGACCACAACCGGTCGGCCTTCAAATCGCTCCGACCACAGACGCAAGAAACTTGAATGGTATGTTTGGATTCCCGTCAGTGAAAGGCTCTCAATATCTCTCCCTCGCAATCTCAAGACTATTGTATAAACCATCCGGGCAGCTTACATGGGCGGCATTCGAAAGGGACTCTTAACAAAATGTTCCTGGCTGTGTTCGCCATACGTCGACCTTACCTTAACACTTAGGATCCGGTGGTAAATACACTTACCACATGCGTTGACGATAGGTCATTCTTAATTTTCTACTCATCATTCTCCTAAACAGCAATTTCATCTCCTTAACAGCCCTTCATTGCGTAATTTTCTAAATTCGTTTATTTAGTAATTTCGTATCAAATGCAAACCTCAGTGGCTGGGAACTTGCATAATTCTCCTTCCTCGGCAAAATAGGTAACAAAGTACGTGATTTTCTCTTAATATTCTTGTATTTCCCCTCGCCAATCATCATCCGCACCGCTCCACGAGGTCTTCGACAGCCCCGCACATCACGTCCCTACGTTAGAGATTTCATCTCTGACTCTGGAGTAAAGTTGATTTGGTTCTAGTCAACGGTGAGGAGAAGATATGAAGTTAAGAGTAACACAAGTCAGTCTTAAAAAACCTTTCTGAAGCGTCTAAATTGAAGGAAAATGTTTTAAAACGTTCGCTAATGCTCGAGGCTCCAACTCCAAGAACTTCCTGAGTTATGAACGTGTTCCTTTCCAAACTTCGTTACGACTTTCGTCCGAAATTTCCGTTTCCCTTACAAATAGCGGTAAACTCTTGTGCAACAAACCAACAATATTCTACTACAATTGTTTGCCTTCAATTATCGCACATTCCTTATCAATAAACTTATATTTAATTAAGAAAAGACGAGGTACTCGGAACAATTAGTGAACACGGAGTCATAGAAAATGTAGCCTTCTCAGGACACCAACCGCGAGGCGATAAAATCTAATGCATCAGACGATCGTCAGGGCAGACGTAATGACATCAACCCTGAAGATGAGAGCAGACAAATCTCAGAAACGCCGTACTTGATCGTGCGAGAAGACGATTAAGATGTCTTCCGGGCATTTAAAAAGGGGATATATCGTCGATGGTTGCCAGGAACCATGAACTGATTACGTACGGCGGACGACAATAACTCACGAACTTCCAGGACGCTCAGCTGATTGCAGAATGCACGGAGAGGCCACCTGGGCTCCGTACGGCGTACGTCTAATTGGACATGTTTAGCGCGAGTCCGGGGATTTGCTGGAATTCTTGTACGCGTAATAAACGTTTGGCTAGAACGAACCTCACAACAGCAGTCATCAACCGATGACGGCGAAAAAAAGAAAATCATCGTTCAATGACGAACCCAAAAAATGCTCCAAATCAAGTCATTTCCGTATTTCACTTAATAGCGTAAAGATTATAAAACGAAACTTTTCGTTTCAAGTTAATTTCTATTAAATTCGCACCACATAAAATAACTTTCTTCCTTAAAAAAAATATCTTGCGAGTGGTTACGACTCCTCTTTCATATTTCGGAGGTCCTAGGTTCAAATACCAGCCCAAAGACCAAGATTTCTACAATTTATAGAATATATCGACCAATTTAATCACACTAATGACCACGTATAAAAGTTCTTCCAAACTTCTCTCCAACTACTCGAAGTAAAAGTGTCTTAAATACGTTACTACTTGTAAATAACGTAAATAATTCACGAGTATAAAATAACTAGCTGTTTCGACTCTTCTAGGGCATGAATTCAATGCTCTTATCCTGTATAATACGTGTACTCCACTAACATTCAAGCCACCGCGTACAAAATTGGACGAGAAGTTAGGGGCACGTTATTTTAAAACGTTTTGAAGCAAATGGTCTTTCGGGGAACACAATTCGACAGGGCACTCTATTTATTTAGACACGCCAGACTCTTCAGAGTATGTGACAGCTATTCGTGGAGCCATCCACAGGTGTCCGAAGCCCCCATGACCCTGAGTCCCTATAAACTAAGTCACCAGTCGGTTAAACTCGAAAGCGGACGAGCGGGTGTACAAAACTTTTGCCTACAACCTATAGACGAACTCCCATGAGTAGCCCCTCACAAGCTCATCACGAAATTTGCCTTTTATGGAACCCAAAAGTTAATTACAGACTTCACAAGAACACAGATCCTACCTTCAGCCAAGCCTATCCTGTATTATTAACAAGCCCTTCGGCCTACATGATAAAATATGTACCTCATTAATAGCCCTTCTATCATACTCATATTACACCAAATAACATAATCCTTACGACAATGTAGAGTTTAAAATGGCAAGCTTGTAACATTCTCGTCGATATTTAATCAACGTGTTTCTTTGTTGATAATTCCGCGTTACGACTAGCGAAGAATTCAAAACAGCAAAGAAAACAGGTTCGTAAAATATACGACCTTCAGTACGCAAATTACGATTCTGAAACATCGAAACACCTAAAAAGATATATAGATTACTTCGTGGGCACGCATTCAAACGACACGTCCATCACATCACGAGCTTTCGCCAAGGTCATCTTAAAAATCTTAAATAACGTGCTGCCAACCAAACAAAACTAAAATCTAATGACTGTTCATACTCGCATGAAGTCAGAAAACGTATGAACCGAGTTTACCCCTTTTGGATAGACGACCATCAACGAATCGATTTCAGCGACATACAGCGGTAAAAAAACGTACTAATTTTTTGAATTCTAACGCCTTGCATACTTATATTTATGTCACTAACATTAACATTCTCAATTCTCTCATAATAAAATAATTTACTGGAGTTATAAACAGAAAAAAGTTTCATATAACAAACATTCCACTCTCACCATCTGTACGTCCCCCGGTCCGTCGTCCTGGACTCGTTTGGTTGGCGTCGTAATTGTTGCCGTGGTAACTGTTGGTGACGTAGATTCCGAAGGGGAAGCAATGTTTGTCTCTTCGCCGACAACCACAAGACTATTTAAATTACTATAAATATGGCTGCTACTTGTAACACTATTACTGTAACTGCTATTGTGTTGCAAGAAATGTTGGTAAGGATTGTAATTGTTGGAAGCGACCACTGGCGATATCGAAATATTGTTTGGGGGATTACCACAAAGGTGTCGATTAACTGTTGAAATGGTTACAGCTCCTGGTCCACCAGAGGGAGGTCGTGGATGGTTGTGGTAAGTTGGGTAAGCCTGAAGGTTACCAGCGGGCGCACTGGACGAGAGAGAAGAGTTTCGTGCAACAATCGCACAAGTACTGCACTGGTTACAACAAGAGAGACAGCTACCGTTCGATGTTGAGACTGTGGTATAAGGGTAGGAGGCAAAAGAAAAATAGGGAGGAGGGAAGTACGAATATGAGTGAAAATACAGGATGTCGGATTTGTTAGTAAATATCTAGTCCGAAAAAATACTGCGAGAAAAAAAAAGTTCCCAACAATTGAAATTCGTTCAGAGCGACAGTACTTTTGAATTCGAGTTTCTCTGATCCAACAATGCAAACAAACTGACAAAATCCCACGGACGAAATAAATACAACGATAAAAATAATACAGATTACAAAAACAACAACAACAACAACAAAATTACGTAATTTTGAACAATAAAATTATTCGTCTAAGAACAAGTCAGTTGCGCGCATATATGCTTATAAAAATAACAACAAATTAACGTCAAAACATTCAAACACGTAACAACTATTTTTTTTAAAAAAACCAACAGACAAACCAACGTCTAAAAATTTTTTTTTAAAAAAATCAAACCCTCACACTGATATAAAACAATATCCTGAACGACACACCACACTTTTAAAATTACTATTAAAAAAATCACAGATCTTCTTTGTCGGGATAATTTAGACTGCGAACGATAACAAGTTTGAACATTAATTCAATTCACAAAAAAAACCTAAGAAGTGCTTTTGGGGGGTGTGATAAGATTACGAAGCCAAGAAATTTGCTATTTTTTTACGAGAGAACAGTGAAATTAGGAACAGGGCTGTGAGGAATGAAAGAGAAAAGCCGATGAACTAGAAACGAAGAAAAGATGAAAGTAGCGTAGAAACGAAGAAAAGACACCCCCTGGTAGGCGAGTATTAGACCGCTGACGCCGCCACAACGAAATAGCAGAAGAGAAAACGTCCACTAGCAGCCAACCTGCGAGAGGCCAAACTCACAACTGAATGCTAGCTGCCTGGGCTTCGAACGCCACAAAACCAGTTTGAATTCCCCCCACCCACCCCACCCCGCTAATCAACCTACCCAGGGCCAACAAAACAAATGCTGGCAGCGCGCACGACGAACCGAAAACGACCGGAAACGCACGATGATGCCCGAAACTCAGTCGCAGCTTACTCCTTAGTACCCCAACAGCGACACAGCGTAAATGTAACATGTTATATAGCATTCGCTACGTATCTCACACAATTTCGCGACAAACGTATTATTTCATCGCGATTTCAAACACGTTTATACTTTTCCAAGACGCAAACATCGTAAATCCACAACAGGTAAAAGTGCGTGTAACAACACAGCAACAAATACACTGACAAAAATATGTTTCTGGAGGGGAGGGGGATGGGGGGCCCACACAACATAGTCCACTATTGCAATCTGAAGCCTATATGGCGGGCACGCGCAACGCTCAGGTGAATTATCTGTGTTGCTTTTACCTACACTTCAGCTATTTTTTTTATCCTTTTCGCTGAGGTAATTTATCCCCCCTTCGTTCTAAACCATACACCGTCTCCTGGATAATAATTCTTCCCCAAAAAATTTCAGGTTATTTTCAAAACGCTTTACTAAGACGGTCTGGATACAATTACAAAACCAAATAATAATAATAATAATAATATCATATATTATTCATATAAGCAGTTCACTGCAGAGACAAGAGACAAACGTAGATCGGATAAAATAAAATCCAGTTCAAAAGTCACCGATATCACTTCACTCCTTCCAAATACTTATTAAAGTACACAGACGAAATCAAAGTCGGGAGTTACATCGCGTTACGTTTTCAAAAACATTTTCACTCGAAGAAATCTCCCCTAAATTAAAAGTTTCTCTCTTGCAGGCGAAAGAAACTTTTTTTAGAATTGCATTTTATTTAATTCAATTTCACTACAAAACATAATATTTTTTTTCCCAAAAATCATATTAGAACGTCACAAATTACGTAGCGATGCCTTATCACATTCTCCTTACAAAACCTCACTTTCTTTAATTCCAAGTTTACATTTCTCTCCATCCGCTGGCCCTATAAGAAAATCTTCATCTACCTTATTCCACCTTTGTAGACTCGTCCTCTAACCAGTCCCTTTTAAATCTCTTTCCTTCAGACAATCTTTCTTTATTTTTATTTTTTTCATTTCACCTGCAGGCTACCAAAATAGGCCTACGTCAGTGTATGCATGTGGGTGGGGAAGGGGGGCGGCGTGCCCCGAAATGCTATAGAAAACGTCTGTTCAAACCCCCGCCCCCAAAACTCCACCCCCCCCCCTCTCGTACCTGCGCAAATCTCGCGGAACTGTGCTCATGCGAGGGGGGGGGGACCTCGTTGCAGCTAGCACAATCCCCTCTCACCCCCTTCGCCCGCAACAAACCCGAGGAGCTTCCGAAGCAACTCCCTGACGAAGCGAGCACACCTGAAATTTGCCGATGACGCTCTGATCCGCGCGATTGCAAAGCCCAGTTCCCGGCGCACTGCAGAACTACGAATTACGAACACATCCGGCGAATCGTGAGAAATCGTACGGAACATATAACCCCCGTCCCGGTCTGCAACCAGAAACATCCGTTTTCATTTAATATTTATAAGAGGCGTTCTCGTTACAAAAAAACGTAATCCTACTCGATGTACATCACACTGCAGAAATTACCGACCTTCACATTCTAAGATGTAATTATACTCAAAACATTTCGGAGGGCAAAACTGCCTCCATCTTCAGGCTTAAAGCAGGATGTCAGCCTAAGCAGACTTCCCTTTTAGTCTTCATTTCATCATCTTCGTCAATTTATACTTTGACCGTAATAAAGGTCTCAACAAAATATTTTGGACTTAAAATACAACAAAAATTATCAAAATAAACTATATTACAAACAAAAACAAGAAGATGGAGTTACTACCGTGTCTTCATTACGTTCTTCCACTCACAAAACTGTATTTTAACCTGAAGATGGAGGCGTTTCCTACCTCCGAAACAATGACAATCACCTGGAAATTCGCATTAAGTCACGATACGGAATACCACAATCGACACGTAATTTTCTCAGCATTTTACGTATCGCGCGAGGACAAAGCAGATTGTGCCTTACTGAGTACATACCAGGAAGTCAGGTTCAACACCGAAGGCTTTAAAACATCACGGCGTTGTCATATTACATCACCAAGTCGCTTGGTTTAAGGTCAACACAGCACGAAGCAAAGCAGTTCATAAGAAAAACTCGACTCTTCGCCCCGGCTGCATACTACCCGCAACGCTTCCGCGGCACACAAGTTGCCATACACACGGCGGAACCTGTATTTCTATCAAAGAATTCGACCGCGGCCAGCAATTTGCTCGAGGACGGTTTAACCTTCAAAAAAAAAAGAAGTCGATTTAGCTGTCTCACGACACGATTTAATGACGGGATTTTCCGTGCACAAAAATTACCCTTCGTGTTCCTTCAAAACAGAGAAGAACTTATCAGCTTTTCAACAGGAGTCATATAAGTAACGCTATCCTACCGCAAAGAAAACACTACACGTCTCCATGACAACCGATCAATTAGTTAACGCTGTTTAGGGAAATAATCGCTGTTTATAATGAGACACGAGGGAGAGAGAGGGGGGGGGGAAATTGGTGGGGGGGAAGGGAGAGACACTTCGATATCTGGGGGGGAGCAAGAGCATCTTATAGCTAGAAGGTCCCCAGGCAATGCCCGCTCGTCCTTCTGTTAAGGATAAAGTAAGAGTGAAGGCGTTAGTGTGATGATTGGCATAAAAGACGGAATTTTGAAATTTTGTATTAGCGAAAGCTGAGGCTATTAATTTGGAAGTTTAATACAAAATTTAGAAGTTCCTACTGAGGGGAGGGGGGGTAAATTTTGACGGCGTTAAGGGGTGGTAAATTTTGATTAATTTAAATCGGGAGGACTGCATGAGAAGCTTGCAGTTAACAGGAGTCATATAAGTAACACTTTCCTACCGCAAAGAAAACACGACACGTCTCCATGACAACCGATCAATTAGTTAACGCTGTTTAGGGAAATAATCGATGTTTGTACTGAGAATCATACGAAAGTCACAAAGGAATCACGTGGGTTATGACACGTTTAAGAACCTGGGGACATGTTTGTTACCACCGTTGCCCTAATACACTGCAATTTAGTGACTGTCACTAAAGAATTCGAAATTCGGCCTCGAGGCATAAAAGTACAATCACTAAAAACCATCGGAGAAAATTACTATAAATTAGAGACGCAGAAAACGGTAACTGAGACGAACAAGAAAGAGACAGACTAAATTAAAACCTAAGTAAAGGTGTGAAGGAATAGAATTCTAAGCGAAGATTGCCTGAGGAAGTCGATAAGACGATCGTCGATACAAAAAATAAAACTAAGCGTTGCTTAGATCGAACGATCTAAGAAATGTTGCAACAGCGCTGAATTCAAATTGATTTATTCAGCACACAAACTGAAGGTTACTCCAATAGCAAAACACATATCACACGCACAGGTGGAAACGTTAAGTCGTGCTTCGGGTCCAATTCACAAGTCGCTGTGTGAACTCTTTTGTTTCCGAATTCTAAATTCTATCAACGGCGAGGAAAGTGGGAAAACGACAACGCTTGTTTGTGAAAGTCGTTCTGAAATCGGTTCCAAAAAAAAAAAAAAATACGCGTTCGTCGTGATTTTTCAGAAAGAAAACTATTTATCACGTTTCGGTATTCGTCACAAGAATGGAGCGATTATTTTTAAGTGGCAACGCCATTATGACGTGCTTTCAAGATGTCTGTCTTCTGGGTTATAGCGCCGTGTAGTCTCGTATAATTTTATTGCCTCCATCATCAGGGCGATGAGTACGACACGCGCGAGGAATCATCGCCCTAAAGATGGAGGCGGTTTCATTCTCATCTCAGAAATCAGTACTATCGCCATGTTAGTATTTTTCCGTAGTAAATTAAAAATACAAAGTTGGGATAAATTCTAGTAACATGATAATAAATATTCGACTGGTTCCAAGAAACCTTACCATAAACATAATTTTAAAGATAAGGAAATGTATGCAGTACGACGGTTCGAAAGAATTTCAAGCGCACGTTTGTTTTTTCACATAATTTCTCAGTCACTGCTGCCAGATTTATACGAAAATTAGAATGTGTCGACAGATCCCAGTAAAAAAACCATTACCAAATTTCATGAAAATCCGTTACATGTGTTAAAATGCAGTTCACAAATAATAAAAAAAACTCTGAAACGCAGATATTTTCATTTGTAATAAAGTTGTCAGCCTGTAGACGAAATATTCTACTGGATCGACCCCTTGCAACAACGAAACCCAGACGACCCATAAAATTCCTAATTCCCTAGAATCCGAATCCATTCCGCAAAATTTTGTCTTTCAGTTCGTGAAGGAAACCAGAAAATCGAAACACGAACACCTTTTCATGTTTCCCCCCGTTCCCCAACCCCCCCTTATATTTGTCTCATTCGCACATAACCTATAAAAATTCCCAGAATTCTATACACACTCCCGCATGTAACAAACTCAACCACACAAAACTACAACTTCAAATAAAAATAAACCAATACTGGTATACATTTCACACGTAAAATTCTGATAAAACCAAAAAGGCTTGAGGCAAACAAAATTATTAGTGTTACGATATTTAATTTGCGAGGTCACGCGGTGTTTCAAAAAGTAATTCGATTTATTAACCAGACACAGATAATTGCAAATGCCAATGGCATATAATAGGTTTTTTAACGCTCGAGTTTAAACGCGTCCATAAGGGGACCAAATATGTCTGATTAGCGTATTCCAGGATACGTACGATTCAAAATAGGTTGGCAATACCAACATAGAGTGGGCAGAATTTATATTTCGGCAGGAAAACTCACAAACACAAGCTGATTAATGTCTCTCCGCAGTAAGCAACTAGTTACGTCCACAAGACAGATCAAAGTAGAGCGAATTTTTCTCTGACCTTC